TAATAAACAACAAAAAATACGCAGTAGGTTTATTATTAGACATGACCAAAGCGTACGATAAAGTGCAATATGGGATACTTTTGAGGAAGTTATATGGAATAGGTATACGCGGAAAGGCTTACGAGTGGTTAAAATCTTATCTTAGGGACAGGGAACAATTGGTTGAAATAGAATACTTCAACTAAAAATAACGAAATCGAAAAAATCCAATCTAATAGTAAAATAATTAATGCCTCAATCCCCCAAGGAAGCGTCATAGGTTGTCTCTTGTTTTTGATCTACATAAACGACTTACCCAAAATGATAGAAGAGCCATGTGTCTTGTTCGCGGACGATATTTCAATATTAGCTTCTTGCCAAAAACACGAAAATGTAGAAGAAATCCTTAATTCAGTGCTAACTAAAACCAGTAATTGGATGAATGACCATAACCTTGAGATCAACTACTCCAAAACAAAGTTAATAACCTTCTATCCTTATCAAAAAAACACCACTAAATTTAGATTTTACATTCAAAAACTCAAAATTAGAAACTGTTAGTGAATTTACCCTACTCGGATTGGTTATAGATACACATATAGACTGGAAAGCCCACATACAAAAAACTCACTCAAAGATTGCCAAATTTTCTTATGCCCTCCGCGAAATAAAAAAGACTACTAACTTCCAAACAGCTCTCACCACCTATTATGCTTACGCCTACGCATGGCTTAGCTATGGGGTTACTCTCTGGGGATACAGTACGGATGCACAGACTCTTTTCATATTACAAAAGAAATTAGTTAGAATCTTAGGCAACTTTGAGCAAACAGACAGTTGTAAACCATTTTTCCAAAAACAAAAGATTCTGACTCTTCCCTGTATGTACATACAGGAATCATGCAAATTTGTACGGAAACATCAAGAATTCTACACAAAACGCGAAGATACTCAAACCCGTTTTCAACTAAGACACCGTTCAAGGCTAAATTTACCAAATTCACGTTTAAAAATGCACTCCACAAGTCCTTACGTAATGTCAATTAAATTGTACAACAGACTTCCCACAGCTATAAAAACAGAAGAGAAGTTTAATATATTTACAAGAAAACTAAAACAATTCTTACTTGATAAAACATATTACTCAGTCGATGAATATCTTGAAGATAAACTTCTGAACCAATATTTCAAATAAATCTGTTAGTGGGTAATTACATTTTAGCTATAACATTTTAATTTTGACTTTATTTAAACTTTAAATCTTGACTGTTTTTAATTTGACTGTTCTTTTGGTAGTATTTTGACTGTTTTTAATTTTTAATTTTAATTTTGAATATGACTTTTTATTTTATTATGATTCTGACTTTGTATTTAATTTTGATTATGATTTTTTTATTTTATTATGATTATGACTTAGTATTTAATTTTGATTGTTTGAGATTTAAAAAATAACTTGAATCCTAAATACTACAATTTCAATTATACCTTTAGCTTGTCTTCCATTTGATATTAATTCTATTGTATGTTAATTATATTTTTTTTTTTTTTTTTAATTCTCCGAATAATATGTCAAGTGTGCTCCCTCCAAAACTTATGTTGTTGTGCCCGACAGGGTTCACATTGTGTCCTATTTATGTTTACCACCTAAGTAATACATGTGAAAAGCAATAAAGTATTGAGTATTGAGTATTGAGTATTGAGCTTTTCTCAGTATATTCACGTGAGTATCCCGCGATATTAAATAAATGTTTACTTTAGGTATAGATAATTATTAATGCATACAGTAGACGTGCTATGTGAAATCATATACGGCAACTTAGAAAAGTACACATAAATTCAGGACTCACCGTTTGTATGAATGCACTGCAAATGCAATTATGTGAAAAGAAATTTATCGCTGATAATATGCTTTAATCAAACCACGTCCAAAATGAACTGACGGCATGAATGACATAACAACGTGCTTGTCCTGTCAACAAAACTTCAAAAAAGTTTCTGTGAAAAAAGTTTCTATTGAATTCATTTATTACAAAAAATGTGACAAATGAGGAACCGCTCGACCGATTTTGTGCAAACTTCACATAAACCATCTACTAAATATGCCGACCAAATCCTAAGCATTTGGTTTGGATAGGTGAGCCCGTTCTTGAGTTATGGAATTACAACGAAAAGTGGCATTGATTTTTATATATATAGACTAGCGGCCCGGTACGTGCTTCGCTACGTATAAAGTGAAATAAAATAAACAAATCGGAACATCAAATTCATTTATTTAATCTAAAAAATATTTTATTTAAAATCGAAATCAATTGCTAGCTATTTACAACACACTTAATCCAAAACATTTGGATAAACAATATTTTTTGTTTTTCCATTTTGAGCATAAATAAACAAACGGCTGGGGGTACCGACTCTGGAACAGGCAACATATAACTGGCCATGTGAAAAACAATGTTCCTCCAAATTCACACCACAAACGTGAAGTGTTTGACCTTGGGCCTTGTTGATGGACATCGCAAATGATAAACGCACAGGATATTGTAAACGTTTGAACTCAAAAGGCATATCAGTTGGAATCATAGGTATACGCGGTATCAAAACAACTTCTCCTTTTGATTTACCAGTTAAGATCGTAGCTTCAATCAAATTTGGCAATAACTTTTTCACTGCCAATCTGGTTCCGTTACACAGTTTTGGTGGATTAATATTTCGCAATAATATAATCGAAGAACCAACTTTCAGATTCAAGCAATGCGGTGGCATACCAGCCGGCTCCAATGAATTTAAAAATTCAATTGGATAATTCATTGCCTCATCTTGATTCATAACACTGTCAATTGATTTATATTTCGTGACTACGCCTGGCAGTTTCGCTTGAATTTGAAATTAATTGCATTGACATGAATGTTTTTCGGTGCTAAAATGGCGCGTTCTGTCAACCAATCATGATTTCTGTAATTCTGAACAATATTCGGAAAAAACACATTCAATCAATTCATCTATCGATTGCGCAATTGTACAAAAATTGTTCGGTACAGCGATCAATCCGTTGGTTCTGTCGATTTGTATTTTGCCGTCACCAATTTCTAACAATTGTTTTGAGAACTCATGGGCAGCTGGATCATTTGTAGGTGAACACGCATATTAATGTTTAGTGTCAATTTTTGTAGATATCTCCAAAGAACTGATGACTTCAAGCAGGCATTTATTTCATCAGCAGGAGTTGATCGAGGAATGACAGGCAATGTTTGACGAAAATCCCCTGAAAGTAATATCAAAGCACCACCAAAAGCTGTTGATTACCACGTAAATCTTGCATTGTTCGATTGAATGCTTCTAGTGATTTTTTATTCGCCATTGTACACTCATTCCATAAAATAATTGACGTTAATCGCAGAACTTTTGCCATAGCAGAATTTCTCGATATATTGCAAGTTGGAGTTTCAATCACCTGTACATTCAATGGCAATTTTAATGCAGAGTGTGCGGTCCGACCACCTTCTAATAATGTAGCAGCAATTCCCGAAGATGCAAGTGCTAGTGCAATTTTCTGATCTGATCGAATAGTCGCTAAAATCAATGATATAACGAACGTTTTACCTGTGCCACCAGGTGCATCCAAAAAATATTAAGTATATATCGTCTTAGTAATGCCACATCATTTGCATTACGCGTTCGCCGACCTATATTTGCTCGTCTGGCTGGTGGCATTTTTCCCCGTATGCACACATGTTTTCGCTTAAAAATCGAAAAAAAAAATTAGAACAAAAAAAAAACAAATTCCCAAGAAGCTGTCGCATATATATTTACAATATCCTGTGCGTTTATCATTTGCGATGTCCATCAACAAGGCCCAAGGTCAAACACTTCACGTTTGTGGTGTGAATTTGGAGGAACATTGTTTTTCACATGGCCAGTTATATGTTGCCTGTTCCAGAGTCGGTACCCCCAGCCGTTTGTTTATTTATGCTCAAAATGGAAAAACAAAAAATATTGTTTATCCAAATGTTTTGGATTAAGTGTGTTGTAAATAGCTAGCAATTGATTTCGATTTTAAATAAAATATTTTTTAGATTAAATAAATGAATTTGATGTTCCGATTTGTTTATTTTATTTCACTTTATACGTAGCGAAGCACGTACCGGGCCGCTAGTATAGATATAGTTAATTTAAACTACATTCAATATAATTGCCCTGATAAGAAAATCGTGACGTCACAATATTTTGTCTTCAACTTTTATAAATGGATACGAAAGTAACTGGTGTGTGTGTGTTTGTCATACACCTAAAGTAATGAATAGATTTTAATAATTTTAATGATTTTATAATAACTATCTTGAGACATACGACATTAACTAAAAATCGCGGGTTACTCACGTGAATATACTGAGAATAGCTCTACTAGTATCGAACTACAAAGGGGTGCAGCTTACATTTGCCTACAGCCTACAGTAGGCTGCGCGACATCGCTGCGACCGCGCACGCTGCTCATGACGAAGAACCCCTCTGTCGTTCGAAACTAGTAGAGCTTTTCTCAGTATATTCACGTGAGTATCCCGCGATATTAAATAAATGTTTACTTTAGGTATAGATAATTATTAATGCATACAGTAGACGTCTTGTTTTGTAACCAAGTCCTATGCACTTGAAAGCGAGTCTCATCAAAATATTATATAATGTAGATAATTTATAATGTAGAGAACGACTGGGTACTAGTTACCTAGTATATATTTATATATTATGTATGTATGTATATATGTATGCATATTGTAGGCATATTGTACTCATGTGTAGGTATATATTATAATTAAATTTATTTATGTATGTATATCTCCGAAATATATTAGTTTATCCTTCATTGTTCAATAAAATCACTGCTTGCCTCTTGCACCTACCAATTACTCTTCTCTGCATCACCCAAAGGTCAGACTGGTAGAAAATGCCTGCGGCATTAAGTCCACCTTTTTGTACATTTTGTGCATGAAGCATATTAAATAAATAAATAATTTTCTGATTTTCAGATTCCTAGTCCTAGTAAGCGCAGGAGTGTACAAGCGCATTCAAGAAGCTAAAGGCAGCTACGAACAAACCAACAAGCAGTTAGCACAGATAATAGTAGAGAACTTCAGAAAACAGGACTTTAGGATGGTCAGCCAATCAGTGCTTGAGGAAATTGAGCAAGAATTCGTATCTTACTGCGTTAAGAATAGTCTTACACCTAAACCAAACACACACATGTCATTATTGATAAGAAATTTCAATTTTTTGCCCACAAATGAAGATGAAATCCCACCAACTCACAGTGTAACGAAAAACGCGTCAGTCCGATTCAATCCGATTGTTCAATCAAAATCGAACACGTTACTCAACGAAATCGATTCTGAAATTTACTCGTCTGGCACAAACGAGATTGAGACGACGAACGATTCTAATATCGATACTAATCGGTCTATTGAATCGACTTCGGATATCTATCCTGTGGGCAGGCCGTTTGATAGGGATCGGAAAATCAAGGGTTATGTTGACTTTTCATGTTATTTTGAAAATGTGGCTAAGGCTAGGAAGAATGGGACATTGCCTGATTTTATTAAATGATTGTTTTTTTGACGTTGAAGAGTCATTCTTGTCATTATGTTTTAAAGTATTGTGATACTATTATGTGTATTCTTTTTTACACATACCCTGTACCAGAACTTTTAAAAGTTACAGTCTATACCTATTTAATTTTGTCATGACTTGGCCTAATTATAGATCCCCTTTTGTATAATCCAAAGACACATTGTATTTTCTATTGTGTCTCATATCGATGCATTCAAGCAGTTAAGTGTTTTTTCTATATGTTGCCCCGCACTAGGATTTTCTCCTGTGTCGTGGGTGCGTTTACAAACATATAAGTTCACATACACATGACACCCAGACCCGGAACAACAATCTGTGGATCACACAAAGAGTTGTTCCGTGCGGGAATTGAACCCGCGACACGTTGCACGGCAGCCGGTTGCCGAGCCACCGCACTAACCGTGCAGTCGTATAAATTAACAAAGCTTCGTATGTACTTAAATGATTTGTTTATAAAATTATGCAATTTTCTTACTTGCCTTCGATATGAAATAAGTGTTACCATATCTTGTATATTGTGTTATAAATATTAGTATCTAAGTATTACATGGGACTCATAACATAAATAATGAAAAATGGGTGTTACATTGTACAGTGGCATTAACTGCCGTAATGTACACCTCTGCCTACCCCTTCGGTGATAAAAAGGCGTGATGTTATGTATCTAAGTATTATGATTATGATAATATGAGATTTTTGTTAGTTTTATGAAAATAAATGAAATGTTATTGTAAATCTGTATTTTGTCTTAATTGTTTGCCTTTTTTTTAAGGGGGGGAAATCATCGAATGTCTACTCCCGCCTGGGCGAGGCGGGAGGGAGTGTCAGACTCTTACTGACTAAAAACCACCCCGTTCCTTCTCCTGCACGTCGAGCCGGAGCCCCGGTTACCCGTTAGGTTCTCCGCGACTCCGTATCGGCATCAGCCTTTATTGGACCCCATCTGTGGTGGTCTGATGGCTCTTTGAGGCGCGCGCGGAACGCTCGGCGCCGTACGCTCGGGTCTGTTTCTGGTCGGACGGGGAGCCACCCATGCTCGCCGTCCGCAGGCCCGCGCTTACGGTGGCCGGAGATCGTCCCGCGATCCCCGACGCCCGGTGTGTCCTTCGCGACGGCTGGGTTGCGAGGAGGCAGCTAATTGTTTGCCAGTAATATAATTTTATAATTCATAACTTATACCTAGGACCATACGACGGCAAGGACTCGATACACGATCACAATGTTCGCATATACATATCATCTATAAGTACATATTATAATAAAATCTTAGATAAGTCAAAACTATACATTTAATAATTTTTTTAAAGAAAACTTGAGGCGGAGTCCACAGTCGATACCGAAGCCAAAAATATGGTTTTTAGAATTTTTGTCTGTTTGTCTGTGTGTCCCTTTTTCTCTGATCTCAAAAAGTAAATCACTATTCCACGCGAACGAAGTTGCGGGCACAGCTAGTATATACGTAAAATCAAACCAACTGTATGGGCCTCGTCACTAGGGTGTTAGGTAGACTAACGTCACACACACGACGCAAGCGGTATCCTGGTTCGTTGCTGGTATCGGTCCGGTTTAGTCGGCCATGTATTTTTTTTTAAGGGGGGAAAATCATCGAATGACTGCTCCCGCCTGGGTGAGGCAGGAGGCCATGTATTGAAGCACACAACTTACTAGTTAAATAGTGAAAAGTGAGTGTTACATTGCACAGTGCCGTAATGTGCATCTTTGCCTACTCCTTCAGGGCTAAGGCGTGATGTTATATTACGTTACGTAGGTAGATTGGTCTAGAGATTTCAGATTATTAAATTTGTCCAAAAAGATGCAAGTGTTATAGATACAATTCTCAATTTTTTTCACTTGCAAATTTCAACTTGTTAGGTTTAACTCACTATTAGGTTCAAAAATGCAGTCAAAATTAAAGTGTTCAATAATTATTATGGTTTTCGGTTTACTCACGTAAATGTTTGACGAGGAACTGACTAGTTTCAAGCCATGCTAGAGACTCATATTCATGAGCAGCATTCCGCGCCCAGCGCCGCGGCCACTGTCGCTGCTACTGGCTGTTCGGTGGCGGCTGCGTTGGTGTTGGGTTCGAATCCCGAGTCGACGCAATTACAGTGTTACATGCCGCGCTCACTGTGTCACACTGCAGACCCATTGTAGTCTGACACAGATTTCGCGGCTTACGCACGTCAAATAATTACGTAAGCCAAAAAACATAATTAATATAGTATGTCTCATAAAAGTTATAACATACCTAAATGTTGAATAATTAATTTACGGTGTCATTTAAGACCGTTTCCATTAGCCCAATTGAGATCAAGAGGACACCGGTGACCTCCCCCACCCACATTTATTACAACCTTATTTACAATATTTAAAGACTAATTATTAATTTTGTATAAAATAGTTAAGCAAACTATTTTTATTAGGCAAAGTTCGAAACCTACCAACGACAAATACCAATGTGACTTTTTTCCGAGTTATATGTACTTTTTAAGATTATTTAGACACCACTGACAAACGGTGAAGGAAAACATCGTGAGGAAACTGGGCTTATAATTTCTAATTACAAATTTGAAATCGCCAACCCGCATTGAGCAAGCGTGGTGATAAATGCTCAAATCTTCTCCGTGTTAGAAGAGGCTTTGCTCTTATAGGCTGATATGAGATGTGTAGGTTCAAAACCGAGGCTAAGTATAAATAAAAGACCAAATACAAAGGCAATATAACTATATTAGTAAGTAAAACGGAGATACACAATTATAATAATGGGTATAAAATAATTAGACAGGCTTGTAGTCTAGTTTGCTCTCCAGCTTCTTGTTGTCGGCCACCTTGCGGACTGCCTTCATTAGGTCCTCCTGGGAATACAAATAATTATTTCAGTATAGTATTATTAACATAGGCAGAGGTGCACATTATGCACTGTACAATGTAACATTCAGTTTTCACTATTTATGTTACGAGTCCCATCTAATGGGGGCAGGGGGTGAGTCTATTGCCATATACCGGGCACAATTCCAGACTCCGTGCTACTAATGAGAATTTTTTTAAAACTTAGTTATACTTTGCCCGTCCCGGGAATCGAACCCGAGACCCCTTGCCCGGCAGTCGTACTTGCGGCCACTCGGCCAACGGGGCAGTCATTACATAGAAATTACACTTTTTTAATTAAATTTATTATATTATTATTCACCTGCACCTCTGCCTACCCCTTCGGGGATAAAAGGCGTAATGTTAAGATGTTATGTAATTTCTACATCTTTTATTTTTTTCTAATGGACTGAGGGTTATTAAATATTTTTGGCTGTCAAATTTTACCTGAATAATATACTCCCTCTCGGCACGTATAGCGAACAGTCCGGCTTCCGTGCAGACGTTTCTAAGGTCAGCCCCGTTGAATGTATCCGACAGTTTGACCACCGCCTCGTAGTCCATCTCACCGTGCTTAGCTATGGGCGCCGCGTGGATTTTCAGAATTTCTAATCTGTAAGCAAAAGAACATAGGAATCAAAAGAAAATCAATTAATATGTTTTTCGTCTTACTCACGTATTTATTTGACGAGGAACTCGACTAGTTTCAAGCCGTTCTAGAGGCTCATATTCATGAGCAGCATTCCGCGACTCGCAACGAGGCCACTGTCGTTACTTACATAATTACGTCAGTAAGCCGAAAAACATATTATAATTAATCAAACGAAAAGTTTTTTTAAGTTAAGAAGCGGAATAATGACAAGATTTTGTGACATCTAATTTTCTATAGTCATGGTGAGCAAAATTATACATAGTATTAAAAATTATTTTATTTTATAAGGGCCACACTAAACGCAAAGAAAAAAATAAACTCTGTGTTGGACTCAACGTAAACCAACTAAGCTTTGCTCAATCCAGAAATCGAACGAATTATTTGCATGCCATAACGGCAAAATGTGGAGAACCATACTATAAAAAATATTAAACACGTTTTCTATATTTTTATAACCTATGTTTGCAACCGAAATAAATGATATGATTTGATTTGAACCAAATTCCTTTGTTTATTAAACACAAAGTAGATAAAGTACGAAACCCAAAAATTACCAGACTAACAGATTTTTATATTATTCACATTAGCCTCTGCCAGCAGCTGCGCCCGCGACGTGGTATAAAAACTAACCTATGTGTCATTCCAAACTGTAAATCTACCCAATTCCAAATTTGATCTCAGTACCTTCAGCCGTCTCGACGTGTAGGAGTAACAGTAAACAAACATACTAAATTTCGGTTTTAAAATATTAGTAAACTATTTAGATGCTAGCTATTTGGATGCTACAGAGGAGCTTTTAAATAAACTTGAGCGATTGCAAAATGTTTGTATCCGCTTTGTCTTTGGTTTAAGAAAGTACGACCATGTTTCCGTATTCCGCAATAGGCTCAAGTGGCTTCCGATCCGTCTTCGCAGGAACACTCGCATTTTATGCTTCCTATATAACATCCTCTTCAACCCTGCCTATCCTGCTTACCTTCGGGACCGTTTCTGAAGTCCTATCTCGTTCACACCTTAAATCTAATCTTAAAATCGAACCCCATAATACCGATTTTTATTCCTACTCCTTTTCCGTTCATGCAGGGAGACTGTGGAATGCGCTCCCGCCTAACATTCGGGACGCTGAGTCTATCGCTATCTTTAAAAAACGAGTGAAAGAACACTACCTTTCCTCCTGATATGTAAATTTCTTCATTTATATGTATAGTTTATATTTTGTATGTATTTATTTATATATTGTATGTAGTTGTATTTATTTATTATAAATAAATAAATAAAATTTCTTCTTACCTAGCCTGCTCATTAGGCAGTGGAATCTCAATCTTCCTGTCCAGTCTACCAGGTCTGAGGAGAGCAGGGTCTAAGGTATCAGGTCGGTTGGTGGCCATGATGATCTTCACTTGCCCCAGGGAATCGAACCCGTCCATCTGGTTCAGCAACTCCATCAATGTACGCTGAATCTCACGGTCAGCACTTGTACCCTCGGAGAAACGACGGCCACCTGGAAGGGAGACAATGGTTTTGTTTATCTACTACTAGATTTTACCCGCGGCTTCGCTCGCGTCACAAAAGAATAAAAAGTAGCCTATGTAACATATACAAATACACACAGCGCCATCTATACCAATACTTTTGTTTTTCCTCGGAAATATCAAATTTTTCAGGGATAAAAAGTACCCTATTATTAATCCGGACTTCTAACTTTACGTCTGCAAAATTTCAAAGCAATCGGTTTAGTAGTTACGGCGTTAAAGTGGAACAAACAAACAAACTCACTTTCAGATTTATAATATTAGTAAGGATTATGACGTTAATTCTAAAGGGTGTGTTTAAGAGGTGTATTGTGAATTACTGCCTCATTGGCTGAGTGGTCGCAAGTGCGACTGCCGGGCAAGGGGTCTCGGTTTCGATTCCCGGGTCGGGCAAAGTGATACTGGGTTTTTAAAAAAATTCACAGTAGTAGCACGGAGTCTGGAATTGTGCCCGGTATATGGGGAGCAATTTATTAGTTAGGGGTATACATAAACACGCGAGAGAATATAAGGTAAAATTTCCATACCAATAGCATCGATCTCGTCCATGAATATAATACAGGGCTGGTGGTCGCGCGCGTAGTTGAACATCTCTCGGATGAGACGCGCAGACTCGCCGATGTACTTGTCGACTATGGCCGACGATACCACCTGCGGAGTTAATGTGGATGGTGAAATATTGATGTAGTGGTGGCAGGAGGCTTTGTTGGAGAGAACTAGATACGCAATCAGCGACGCAAACTGTATCCACCTAATGGCGAACCGTTGTTAGTAAGTAAAGAAGAAAATTTCTATTTGTCGTAAACAATTTGTGAGTCTTATAAAAAGCTGGGTAATAATTGGTTGTGTAGGGAACAGAGGTGTATAGTTCCCTAAGATCGGAAAAGGAGGATCCTCCGACCAGGCGAGGTGATCGTGCCTGGCGGGCTTTCTGCCCAACAGTTGTTCGTTGGGATTTTCTATCCGTGTTTATTCGCTTGTAAACTTTGCATGTGCGATGTAGGATTCTTGTGACGTCATCCGTTGATATGTGGCATGCGTCGCCACAGTTGGTTCACTGAAGCCGAACGCACTTGATACTTTTAATAATGACTATGAGATATACTGACTATGAGGGTTCTTCCTCATGAGCAGCATGCGCGGTCGCGGCGATGTCGCGCAGCTCACTGCACCCCTCTGTGGTTCGAAACTAGTAGAGCTTTTCTCAGTATATTAACGTGAGTAACCCGTGATTTTTAGTTAATGCAGTTGATACTCTTACGTTACGGATGCGATAGTTATTCGTGCTTGGCACTCTAAAGAGTTTATTTGTTTGAACGCGCATATCTCGGGAATTACTGGACCGATTTGAAAAATTCTTTTTGTGTTGGATAGTGCATTCATCGAGGGAGGCTGTAGAACATCACACTACGATCAGTAGGAGCCGAGCAGAGCGGGTGAAACATCGCAAAAGCTAGTAAATTGATATAACTTTAAGTAATGTGAATAAAGTTGATTTTAGAATATGCTTGAGGATAGTTTTGACTTCTTAATCACTTGAAATAAATCCCCAAATATTTTTCATACAAAAGTAGTCCCTAAAAATCGGAAACAAGGTCTATAATGGAGTTAGTGAAGAGTGGTTACTTGAGCAGAGCCTATGGAGTGATTAATAAAAGACTATCAATGTTTTAAGATTTTAAATATGTACCTTCAAGAAGTTGGCGTCAAGTTGTGAGGCCACAGCCCGGGCGAGCAGAGTCTTCCCGGTGCCGGGCGGCCCGTACAGCAGGCAGCCCTTGGGCGGAGTGATGCCCACGCGGACAAACAGCTCGGGGTTCATCAGTGGCAACTCAATCACCTGGAATTCATTATGAATATTATATTAATTTCATCGTGTAAAAGTGGTAAGGTTCCCTATTAGAAAGTGTATAATTTTATTCTTTGAGCTATAGCTTCATACTATATAATGTACATTTTTTATGGAATAAACCGGTAAACGAACAGACGGATCACCTGATGGTAAGCAATCGCCGCCCATGAACACCAGAGGCGTTACAAGTGCGTTACCGGCCTTTTGGGGATTTAGAATTTGAAGATTGTTGTTGGTTGACTTGTAATAGGCCCAATTTTTGGCGTTAGCTACACATTCTTGCATGGACACATGGACACACAATCCTAGACTTGCATTTGATAGATAATAATATTGTAATGAGTCTAACAATGCTCTGAATGTTAGAAGTGGTAACATTTTTGTAACAGTAAAAAATATCGTGGTAACACGAACGCTTCTCATATATGAGGGTACGGGTTCGAAACCTACCAACGGCAAGTACCAACGTGACTTTTTCAGAGTTATATGTACTTCCTAAGACAATCTAGACACCACTGACAAACGGCGAAGGGACACATTGTGAGGAAACCTGGACTTATAATTTCTCATTATAAGTTTGAAATCGCCAACCTGGCATGAGCAAGCGTGGTGATTAACCTCTCATCTGCCGGTATATTAGACACAATAGAAAACACATTGTGTCTCGCGTATATCTAAGTTCTGGCATATCATGGGTTAATGCTCAAATCTTCTCCGTATAACAAGAGGCTTTGCTCAGCAGTGGGCACTTATAGGCTTTTGATGAAAACCAAAATACTTAATGCATTGTGTACATTAACTAACCTCTCTTAGCTGTCGGATCTGTTCCTGCAGACCTCCAATAGCGGAGTATGTGACATCACCAGGGTCTTCGTGGCTCATGTTGTATACTAGAGGATCAACCTGGACATAAAAACAACAATAAATTACAATTGGGTACTTGCCAACTAGCCAAATTCAATACATTTTTCGAACTGTCAAAAAAAAACAGTTTTCTATGTATTTTGTACGAGATTGTGTATTAATTGTGATGTCACGTTTTTCTAACGTCAAAAAGCGTACTTATTTCTTAAAAATTTGCTGTAAAAATACTAAAAGAAAGTTGATCATAAAATCAATTAAAGCGTGACTATTTTTTTTATATGATATTGTATTGAACAGTCAAAATAATTTAATTTCACTAAGGACAGTACCCAATTAAGTACAGTATACACAGTTCAATAATGTTGGTTCAATTGGTACAAATTAAAAAAACGTGAACAATATTTCAAACTTTTTTAAGCTGGCACTATAAATACATAACGCAGAAGGCTTAACAAAGGTACGAATGAATGAAGATTGAAGAGATATTTTCTAGCACCCTAGAAAGCATAAATTCTTACTTACTAAAAACCACCCTGTTCCTACTTCTGCTCTTCGAGCCGGGGCCCCAGGAATTTGATAGGATCCGTATTAGGCATGAGCCCTACTGGGGCCCATCTGTAGTGGTCTGATGGCTCTTAGATTTGTATGTATAGGTGTGGTTTTGATCGGTTTGGCAAGCTGTCTATAGACCCACACAATTTAAGTTATCTTAGCTCCCAATTTCAATTATAATGCTGTTGTGGTGTAATTAAATCAACACTAAATAAATTAATTTAAGAAGTTAATTACCTCTCTGGGTAAATGCCTCATGATGGTAAGTGTGGTCATATCCAGGGCGACCCTGGTGCCTCCCTTCAGCTTCTGCTTGTCCAGCTGTCTGCGACACCCAACCACATAGCGAGGACCGTTTGTTGCTTTCACAATGACTGAAAAATACAGTGAAAATTATTAGTTGTCAAGATTTCATATTTATGTTCTTTAATCTGCAAGGAGTGCCAGCGTACTATTTTACGAAATTTCTTATAAGTATCAGATTATTATATTAGAAACAATACATCCACAGCTGAATAGGTAGAGCCCGGTTTTTATCAATTAAAAGCAACTTCTGGCTGCCTCAAACTTAAATAAAGTGTATATAAACTTGAGATAACAAACAACAATAATATGCACAGACATCAGCACATCATAATACCCCAAACCATCAATTTACATTTCCAACCTTATAATTTTGGCAATAAAGGTGAGAATCTATTACTAAATCTATGACTAATAAGGTATTCTGATGTGCCACCTATTACAACAATGGTATACTTACATTTCTCTTCAGTAAGCTGCTTCAGCACTTCTCCAACAATCTGACCGACACTCTGCAGAGCTTTCAGGTCATTCTCACTCTTGTCATACTGTTTGGTAATGTCTTTTAGTTTATCTCTCACTGAAACAAGATAAATTATGTTTTAAAATAGGTTTTAAGAAGCAGTGTGAAAGTACTAGCATCAGGGACGTTTTAACAAAGAAATCTTATGTACATTGTGTATTTCTGTTGATGATACGATAAAACAATCCTTGAGAACAGGGTAAAAGGTTCTAATTGGTAAAACAACCCTGATGTATTCATAAAATATGACAAAAGTCCCCTTAGTTATTTTCTAAGAACTTGGGGCAGCAGTGCTTAAAATGATTAAATTGTACTATGGGAATGTTAAGAGGGAATCTAAAGCAATATAAACATTCGTATAAATGTATTTGAAGTTAGAAATTACACATTATTTTTGTTAAATTCGACTTCTATGACCTGACAGGTGTAACCTCTTTTGATTCTTAAAGAACGCTATTAAATAACAAACAAATTATCATTCTAATGCATTAAACACGATAAGTGCAGTGTCATTTAACTAGTGTTCAGTAAAAACAGGCAATCATGTATTTTCTAGGACAAAAGTTAGTGTAATGATTCGGCAGAAATCGATGACAAGCAACTCGAAAGTTACAAATACATACTTTCTTTCAGCCTAGATTCCACTTCTTTGTGTTCCATCAGCTTCTTTCTGTAGTCCTGGAAGGCTTTTTCACGTAGCCCGTCCATCGTTGAGGGTCCGGCAGGCATTTTTAATAAATTTTATGTTTACGTGATAAATGCAAAAACGAAAATCACTACTATTTGACAGTTCTGTGCGTTGACATCACAGATTAAAAATCTGACGTTTGCTCTGTAAAGAACAAAACGCAGACTTCTGCTAGTTTGACGAATAGTAATAAAAAAATAACAAATTAACATAAATAAATTTATTTTAAATAAATACCATACAATCGCATAAAAAGATTAAAATGGAAATAAATTTATTTGTAAAATATAAATACATACCTAACTAATAAAAATAACTTGAAGGTAAGTTGAATAAATAAGTAAATAAATTAAATTGAAACTTTCAACTAAAAATAAATAATCATTACGCTATTATCTAGTTCTACTTTTTTATTAAGAAAAAGAAAGAAGTATCCAGTGGTGGACATCGGATACTACAGTAGTGCTGATTAAAAAAGTAAGATGACTTTTTCTTCTAGATTTAATTGCCCTCAGCAAGTCATCGTTTTTTGCTCACCTTACTAACTTGCGACTGTGGCGTTCAACGTCTATTTTTTATGGGATAAACCGGTAAACGACCAGACTGATCACCTGATGGTAAGCAATCGGCTCCAAAACACCGAAGGCGGTACAAGGGGGCCTACCGTATTTTTTGCTCATCAATTGACGGTAGTTGTTTGTCTAATAATCCCTAAATCCCTAATAATCCTCAGATTTAATAATTCAAAATTTCAAAATTTTAAAATTTGACGATTATTAGGGATTGGTGAGATTGGGGAGGGGGTAATTGAGCCTCCGGTAACCTCACTCACACGACGAAACACAACGCTATAGTTAGGTATTTCACGCCAGTTTTCTGTGACGCCCGCAGAGGCCGTGGTATAACTCCGGCCGAGAAGGCCTATTCGTTCTGAAGCATGGCTCTGTCATGTATGTCTTATATGTATACATTTTGTCCGCTTTACTACCTTGGTTTATTCATCAGTGCTGATAATTAATTTCCATTATAATTTTTAATTTCTTGACGATTGAAACCAAATATCTCAGAAAACAAATCCACCACGTCAGTCATGGCGCTAAGCTGACAAGCCAACCCTCTATATGTTTACAATCTTTAAAAAACATAACTCAGGAAAAAGGAACATCAAAATAAATTACGTTCAAGGCACTTATCTTTTTTATTTAAAAAATATCGCAATATGATACATGCTCGCCGCGCGGCGTAATGGCGGTGGTTTCGCGCCAAAATATAATAAAATAAAGCTGCGCGCGTGTGTTATTTGCGCGGCACGTGAATTACGTGACCCAGGTCCCGCAGACATCACGTCTTTTAGGTATCTAGTTTATATCGCACGTGTTTATTTACTGTACCTAAGTGAAATGAGGTTAAATATCCACCTAGACTTTGAGTTTTTCTTGGATTTATCTGATAGGGCTGGGAATGGAGTGAACGTAGGTACATAACCACTTTAATTTTTTTAGGAGCATTACTGTTTTTGTCTCACCTAGAGGTAGAGGTACGTTAGAGATCTTCCAGAAACAAATTAGGGCTTCTTAATCTTTTGATTTTCAACCCGTATATAGGTATAGGTACACATGTATATTACTTATTTCAAATTATTAGGTAAGTATTTACTTGCTCTGTTGAATAAAAAAAACCTACTGTAGGCTTCGCAACCTCGCCGTGATCGCGCACGCTGCTCATGAGGAAGAACCCCTCTGTGATTCGAAACTAGTAGAGCATTCCTCAGTATATTCACATGAGCAACGCGCGATTTTTAGTTAATTCAATTAAATGACATCTATTTTTCACACCACAAAATCTTTTTCTATCATTCAGGACGCTCCACATTTTATATCGATTCTCATATTATGTATGAAAAACTACAAAGAATGAAAAACAAAATAAAAAGTGCCTAGACAAATTATTACAGCAATAAGCTTCATAAAAGAACAATTGCGCTTAAGATAAAAACTACACGAATTCTTTTTATAAATGTTAATTAATAGGTACATTAAAATATTAATTATCTTATAAAAACAGTAGTAAAACTACAAAATAAACGAAATAAAATTCCTTTACAACTTTAAAGGCACAACTAAGTATTACGATCTGCTACTACAAAATAAGACAATGTCCATAAATGTGAACGTTTGCTATTGAAATTGCAACAATATCTTAGATAAGATCCTGGGATGTAGGTAAGCATTTTATTTCAACACTAGCTTCCTACTTGCGACTTCACCCGCGTCAAATTGAGAAATGAGAATATTTCTCTCGAAGAGACTCGACTCCTGTAAGAAAGAAAGAAAGAAAGAAAAATAATTTATTCGCCACCGACATGGACCACCGAATAACACACAAAATAATAACAAAATAACATTGAACAAAAAAAAAAAAATAAAAAAAATAAAATAAAAAACAATAAGAACAAAACAATAATAACATAAAAAAACAGCAGTAAAAAATAAAACAACAATTAAGGCAGGGTGGCAGCATGTCCGCGACAAAAGGGCTCACCAACTCAGTTTAAGCTGGGCACAGTAAGTACCCAACACTGGTTTTCAGTTGGCACCCCTGCAGTGACGCACGGACGGAAGCAACGAAGAATAATTTTAAGGAAAATAAAATAGTTACATAAGACACATGTTAAAAAATATAATGATAATAATAAAATAAAAGGAAGAATAAAAACAGACCTCTAAGTATGTACATTGTGCGATAAATAAATGAATAAAAATGAGTATGCATCATAAACAAGTGTAACGTGTACCGTCACCGAAGGAAAAAAATAATAAAAATAAAATAAATTTATAAACTGTATCACGACAATAAAATTAGTGTGGGTATGTCGTGAAGCCATCGCGCAGCCCGACACTCATTGCGCGAAGTTGAAGCGAGAGACAGGTCGGTATTTCGCCAGCACTGCGGCAACAAGGGGCCCAAGGGTGAGTTTTCGAGATATGCTACATTACAATAATACTGAAGTTAATAAATAATTATATAAATAAATCAATATGAAAATGTGAAAACATAATTTGTGTACCCAGTTAAACAAAAAAGAAAAAAAAATAAAATATATATATAAGAAAGATAAGTGTTAGATTAAATAAACGAAATGTCAATATTTATAGATTCATTCTCAATTTGAGAATTAATAATAAACTCCTTGAGTTTTCGTTTAAAAGTGAATGGGCTTTGCAGGTTCCTGATTGGCGGAGGTATATTGTTCCAGCACTTAGAAGCTGCATATCGGAAACTACCCCGAAAAGCAGCCGATTTGTGTTGCGGTATAGCCAGCTGTTGTGCACACCGCCTACCCTCCCGCTGCCGATGAGCATTCACCCACGAGAGCTTCGAGTAGAGGTATACTGGACACTTATACTTAATCACACCAAAGAGGAGACATGCCAGGTGGAGCTTACGTCGGGACTTCATTTTTAAAAGATTATACTTGTTTAAGTAAGGTGTTATGTGACTCTAGGTGGAATTTTAAAACAAAAACGCGCGCAGGCATTCTGAACCCTCTGTATCAATCGCTCAGTGCGTGAAAACAGTCTAGGTCCAATAACCGCGTCAGCGTAGTTTAGCTTGGATAAAACCAACGACTCAACCAGCCGCACACGCAACTCCTCACTTAGATACGGACGCATTCTGTATAGTATCTTCAGGCGGTAAAAACAGTTTCTGACGCAGTTTGAGATGTGAGATTCAAACCTAAGACCTTGATCCATTATCAGACCCAAATTTCGCGCTTCATCGACACGCTCAATGATTTGACCCCTCAAGAGAACGTTAATATTACTAGGTGTCTTGTAAAGTTGCGTCTTTGTTCCGAAAAGCATGAATTTTGTTTTGGATGGATTTAAGATGAGGCAGTTATTGCTTGACCAGTTCACTATCCTGTCGAGGTCCTCATTAATTGAATTCACAGCACTCGCGTATTCTTCCGGTCTAAAGGACAAGTAAATCTGTATATCGTCAGCGTAGATATGATATTTACATGTTTTTATTATATTGATGATGTCAGCACAATATAATAGGAATAGGGTAGGCCCTAAAATGGATCCTTGGGGAACTCCCTTCGTCACAGGTTTCACCTCAGAAGCCAAGAAAGATCCATTAGCATCGCGAAATTCAACCAGCTGCGCACGGTTGCTGAGGTAACTATCGAACCATTTAATTGTTGGTATGTCAAATCCGTAGTACGCCATTTTTAGAGAGTAATAGGGATAAATTGATAGCATCAAATGCCCTCGAGAAATCCAGCAGGACCAATATAGTGCACAAACCCTCATCCTGCGCAGCCAGTATATTGTCAGTGACGTCCAACAAAGCCGTGGCCGTACTACGCCCCCTCCTAAAACCAGATTGCGCATCCGGCAGAACACTGCTGTCCTCTATAAATTTGGAGACCTGTTCGTTTACCACCCTTTCCAAGACCTTAGACATTAAGGGTAGAATGCTAATAGGCCTTAAATCCTTAAGTTCGCCAGGATTGTTTACTTTGGGTAGAGGACGTACCTTAGCCAATTTCCAGGCGCCCGGAAAAGTTGCCGTTACTATGGAGGCATTTATAATACGCGTCAGGACATTCAAGTTTGTGGTATTGTTAACAAAAACATATTCAGTGCTATCTGGTCACAACCTTCAGCATTTGATTTTAGGCCGGTTATTATCCTTAGAATCTTCATGTCATCGGTTGTATTAAGGGAGAGGATGCAATCAGAGAACCTATGAAATTCATAGTAGGTGTAAGTCGACAGGGAAGTAATTGTATCGCCGGGAATATTCAAAAAATGATCATTTATTTTGTTTGGGTCATTGAAATGTGCGGGTAGTTCATTATCAGACTTTAGAGGCAGCAAGGTGGATTTTAAATTCTTCCAAAGCCTCTTCGGATGTTTGATGTTGTTATTAATATTTGATTTGAAGTAGGCTACTTTTTCAAGGTAAATTGATTTAGTTACTAGACTCTTTAAATCCGTATAGTATTGTTTTTTGTGAGTTAATGTGTTATTAATTCGGAATTCCCTATAGGCTTTGTCTCGAAGTTTCATCATGAGTTTAATGTTTTCTGTAATCCATGGATAGGATCTATCCCTCATCCTAACACTCCTGCGAGGTGCAA